ATCCTGATTAATATTCTGTGTCTGTTAAGTACAGAGACGAACAATTGTCTTCATTTATTATCTTAAAATATCTGCGGGAATTTGTTTTTTTTAATTACCATCATCAAAACTAAAAAAAAAAGTGTTGAGAAGCAAATCACACAGTATTTAATCAGCTGACAGATCATATTGAGTGTGAAAGAGGTAACTTGAATACTGAATAGGGATAAATGGTAATGGGTGCAATTATAATTATGGTGCAATTATCCTGATTGTTTTACCAGTTTATTGTGATTATCTGTCTGAGTGATCTGATGAGCAAATATTTTCATTACACTGTCTGCGTCACATAACATCTTCGCTGCTGATTTCTGAAATTAATGAACTATTTTAGCCCTTTTCAATACATTTCATGACAAACTGATTATTTACTTTTATAAAACATGTCTGTGCAGCAGCAATTAAATCGATGACCAACAGGCATAGATACGTAATCCAGATTAGTATTCATGAAAGCAGTAAAGTTTGATGTTCAGCCTCCAGTATCTGCTGTCTAGTTAACTCTGAGATTAAGTTCTTTCCTCCACAGACTCTATTTCTGTTCTACTGTGACACTGAAGCCTGATTCATAATTCTCCCTCAGCAGCTAAACGTCGCCACAGACACACACACACACACACACAGACACACAAAGACAGGGTAATGACTGGGTTTGGAGACCTACAGGCTCATATTAACATCTAATCTTCAGGTTGAGCCCAAATGAAATGACATCGCTCACAATTACATCTTGAAATCTGCTCGACAGCCTCTCAGTGCCAATGTACAGATTGTTTTTTTTTATCTGAAGTGACATTCATTTCTTTTGAACTCACTCCCTGTCGCAGAGCTTGCCGCGCATCATCGTGCAGTCAGCCAGCGTTGAAGAGGGAATGAGCAAACATCAGCAGCCAGTAAGTTCTGGGGCCATTTGATCTGTTAACGGTGTCTTATGTGTTATCTGCTGGGCGTGGCCACACTCTGCTCCCCCTCAGTGTCTGGATGTAAATAAAGATGGATGACGTGTCTCCACTTCCTCATATTGTACAACAGTAAACAAAAACATCCTGTACACAATGGTGCCGCCATTTTGTACTTTTTACATCATTTGTAGCCAGAGTCAGTACTGATCGTGGTGTCAAGCTGTGGTATCAAGGTCCCGCCTATATATGCTTGACCAATCGTGTGCCAGTCTCATCTGTCAATCATGACATGTCACCCTGTTGTTACAGCATCAGTGACTCAATTAAAGTCACATTGTCACAGTGTGACCAGAATTACCTGAAATGAAAAAAAACATCATTTAGAAAAATGTATTTTAGGAGTACATTCACTTTTTAGTTTGGTCCTCGTCCCCTCCTCTAACATGGAGGAGGCAGGGTTAATGAGCCATCCACCAGGGGGTAATCAAGACACTTTGGCTTCACTTTTGGGGACCTGTCCTCTTTATTTACAGTCTATGGTCTTAAAAAGTTTTGTAGGATGTGTGTGAAAGCTTATTTTGGGAAAACAACCTCAGTTAATTACACACGTTTGTTACGATCATTCATTTGAAGCCTGAGACCAAGATGCATGGTGCAAGACCTGAGGCGGATTATTTCTTCTACATAACAGCTGAAGAATTCTTCTAACTTTCTGAGTTCACAGTTTGGTTTGTTTTGTTTTTCAGATTTCACTGAGATTCTAGGCTTTCTGTTGAAGGAGAGGAGGTTATCACTGAGACTGTATTTCTGTTTACTGCTTGTTCTTCTATGTTTCTTTATATGATTCATCTACTGTTTTCTCTTCTATTATCTCTTCTATTCAAATTATCTTTACATTTTTGCAGACATCTATTTAAATCTCCTCCAATCAATACGTTCATATCAAAAAATCAAAGTATTGATTGAAGATTGACTGACAAAGTTGGCAAAGTTGGCAACTAGCTAGAAGTGTTTTGCAGCTAAAGATGATGGAGGCCACTCAGAATGAATGCTAATGTTCCTGGATGTTTGAATTAACCACTGCTTGTTAAGTTTCCTAACTTTATGTTGCCGTTAACTCAGCGATGTCAACAATTCAATTTCACAGTGATGTCATTCCTTCAGACCAAAACAGTTGAGGAAGTGGAATGGATAATTTTTTTTTTGTAGTCAGTTTGAGTCTATTGCAATGTGGATTTTGGTTAGTGTCAATGTTTCAAACAGGAATTCAGCTTCTGGGTTACTAATACAATTGTTGCCTTAATCCACCCCCAGGTTCCCATCGAGGAAATCATTCCTGTCGACATCCAAGCAGAGATCCCCAGATCCGTACCTCTCCCACCGCCCATCATCCCAGAGCAGACGGAGGAATCCACCCCAAGCCCAGTGAGCGAAGCCTCCAGTGGATACATGTCCACCAGCATATCTACAGTAACACTATCAGACGTCTACAAACTGAGCTGGGACCTGCCCCAGTCGTCCGAATTTGAGATGGTGCCTGATGAAGAGGAAGAGGACACTAAAGTGACACAATCTGTTCTTCACCCTGTGGAACACCCAGAGCCTCAGGAGTCATCGCCGGGTTTGAGCGACGAAGCAGCTGCAGACAAGATTGACCGACCACAGTCCGAATTACACAATACTCCATCAGATTCAAACCTGACTCTTCAAGAACCGAATCACTTTCCATCAGTTAGTTTAAAGGACGAAGAAATGCTTGATCCTGCAGCAGAATCCGATTTACCAGACCAGGCCAAACAATCTCAAGACTCAGCTGCTGACCCGATTGGATTAGACCATTTGGAGCCTCTCAGTGATTCAGTGGAAGTCGAGCAGAATGAAACCAAACCGGCAGAATTGTTGCAAACACCCGTCTCGAAATCAGAGGCTTCACAGAAGACAGAAGAATTCAAGCTGCCTGCTACAGATGAGACAGAAGCAGAAATGTCACTCCTTGATGAAACACAACCGTCTGGGCAGGAAAGTGAAAGTCAGCCTCAGCAACCCAAAGAAGACGAGGCAACCTCTGACAGTATTCAAGATCCAGATCCAGATCCGATCCCAGTTTTATCAGTCGACCCAGTTCTTCAAGATTCATCAAATCAACAATCAAAAGCTGAGGCCTCAGACCCTAACGACGCCTCAACCCTGACCTCAACCTCAGCAACAGATGAAGTCCAAAAAGAATCGCCCACCGATGAATCTATGAAAGCCCCAGCAGCTCCCACTCCTCTGTCCAGCATTCAACCTCCCAAATCTGCTGCCTCAGCGGCCAACCCGTTCAAAATCCAGAAGGTAAAGCCTTCAGACATCAAGTCCTTTCATGTTATTCTGGATGAGGAGACGAGCGGACACGAGGTTGAGGCCAGCAGCCACCTCTCTGTGCCTGTGGAAACCCTGGAGATCATCTCGGATTCTGAGGAAGGAGATGCAACTTCTACTGTTCTCCCTGAATGGTTGAAAGAAGGGGAGTTTGTAAACGTGGGGACCAATAAGAGCGGAACCGTGCGATATGTGGGACCTACTGATTTTGCGGAAGGGACCTGGGTGGGGGTGGAACTGGAGGTACCAGCAGGTTAGAACCACCTAAGTCTTATTGATTTTACACGTTCAAAATGTTTTGGGTCAGATTGAACATCTAACAAAGTTTTCTTGATCGTTCTCTAGGCAAGAACGATGGCTCAGTGGGCGGCAAGCAGTACTTCCACTGCAACCCTGGCTACGGGGTGTTGGTGCGGCCCGACAGAGTGACCCGCTGTGGTGCCAAACGCCGTCGCCAGCAGCAAAAGCGCCGTAGTGCCAACCTGTCTGGATCCAGCCCTAACCTTGCGGCCCTCACCGCTCTGGCCAAAGGCGAACCCGGCGGGGCCTCAGGCGGCCGCAGCAAAGGAGAGAACCGCAAGTCCTGGAACACTTGAGAGGCTTCGTATCCGCGAAACAGCGAATTGCTGCACACCCCCGCTGGGTGATGTGATTATAGGGTAGGTTTTCAGACGCCACAGTGTTTTATTCGAACAGATTCACCACAGAATTAGGATTCGGGGACACAAGATTAGTCGCCTCTCGCTCTTCTGTGGGAAGCTCTGTTCAAGCTGCATTGCTATTTTAATACCTGATGTACCAAGTGATCGAAACCTTTTTCTTATTGGAAAATGTGAATGTTTTAGAAATGTACCTGCAAGTTCCTCTTTGGTTAATTTAACTTTTAATGGTGGATGTTTCATTTTGTAATGTATTTATTCGAGACACGTAACAAAAAAAAACTGCCTCAAAATCATAAAATGTCTTTATCTCTGAACATGTTAATGTCTTCCAGCCAGGAGAAAGTATCTTAGCGTGAGGATCAGTTAAAAGTAGTTTAGATTCACTGGATTACGACTCCACCTTCATGTGCTCATATTTCTACTGCTCAAAAGAAAATATGCAGCGCAACTTTCCTCATGTGCCTTGAAATACGACGACTACTACTGCTCAACTAATGTGCCTCAGTGCCACACCCCCACACTATTTTGTCGATATACTTATTTTAGCTCTTGAATGTGTTTTACTACAGTTTTACAAACCTGCGCTCTCTCTGCTGACGGATGCTACTGAAATGTTGCAACACTTTTTTAAATCACCTTTGTCCATCCGAGTGTGTGTGAGGATTGGTTGGGAGTGACTTCATTTTTAAGAGAGGAGTTAGATTGTTTGGTTTTTGTCTAGTGATAAATTCAATTCCATTGTGTTTGGGAGCCTTGTGATTTGTGCATGATGAGGACATTGAGGGATTTTGTTTGTCCTAGTGAATTTAGCGAATCATTTTATGTATATGCATTCGAGCTGATCATTTTGACCACCTTAATGCTTATTTATTTAAAGATCAAGACACTATATTGTTTATCTAAAGCAAAAATCATCTTTTTTAATGTTTGAATAAATAAAAACAGTCAATTCCAGTCTGCTCCTCAGCTCGTGGTTCATGTTTATTTGTATATAGGTTTGAATATTTGCGACCGACAATTGGAAACCCAGAGAAAGTCTCGTTGATATAGCTTTATTCTCTTGTACATTATATATATCATACTAAAATAAACACAAGTTAAAAAAATGAACAAAGAAACTGTACAAAAAAATGTATATATACTACATCTTAATTACAGAACAGTCTACTGTCCAAAAAAGGCACTAAATTCTGAAATGGGCAATACAGTAATTTTGAACATAACTAGATTGAAGATTGATACAACAGCATTCAGTCCTCTTTCTCAGAGCTATATCGGGATGAAGTGGATGGTGTTTCACCGGGGACAGACGGACATGTAGACGTGTTGACCCTGACACACCACAAGAGGACGCCCCTTCAGAGTAAGCACCACCGGTGGAGGAGAGCCTGTTTTAAGGTTTCAGTCTGTTTTTTTCCCCCTGTTTTCTCCTGGAAAAGCACAGAATCTTCACTTCCTGAGCACCTTAGGGTTCTTTCTTCCATCCCACGAACATTTCTGTCAAGCTCGAACACTCATAAAATACTGCAGGATTAAAACTTGTATTTGCTAAACGGGCCATCATGGTATCTCTCAAACATGAAGGCAATTAATTGAAGCTTTTTATACCGAGAGAATAATCTCTAAATGCACTCTTCTGATTTGTTTTCCTTCCACACAAGATTAATTTCACTATTTCTAACACACAATATTCTTTATTATTGTCACACCAAACCCTTCAAGTAGAAAACACACTCAGTGCTTGGCAAGTGAGGAGTGTGAATCAGCTAATAAAGGAATAGATCACCTCCTGCTTACAATTTAGTTTTTTGGTGTCAGTGGCAAAAACTACTCGAGTTTCTTTAGTTTCAGACATTTAACCAAACTGTTTCCATTAACTTCAATATTAGGGTAATGGAACACAATGGAACCTTGTATTTTCATACATGGAACCACTATCTAGTGATAAAAGATAGAATTGTAGTTGTCATCAGAAATTCAACGATATATTTGTGGCATATATGATTTTCAATGTATAAAGTCAATGTTAAAATGCTACATTTCTCTATGAAGTTTGGTGTGACATTTTACAAAATGGCACATTCTGGGGCTTTTATTTCCCATGATGTCAGAAGCAACTGTGCTGAACTGATTATTCACACCAGCTCCTTTATCTTACACTAGACGTTTTGTCTTTTCAGAGGAAGGCTTGCGGGAAGGAAGGTTAAATGTCAAGCTTAGTCTCAATTTTCATAAGGTGCATCGTTTTTTTCTTTAAATCTTTCACAAAACAGCTTACTAGCTCGGACACAAACGGGGGAGACTGTTGTTCAGCCAAACAAAGGGTGACACAAAATAAACGCTTTAAAATGATAATAGAACAAGAAGTCAGGAGAAATTAAAAAGCAAGATTAACAATAAAAGCATGTTTTCAAAAACATATGTCATTCTTTTTTTTGTACATTACCATAAAAACTGAGTATAAATACATATTGTTTTGAATCTTTCAACCCTTTCTTTTTGAAACAAAGGTCCCAGTCACTGTATCGCAGCTCCGTACATCTGGAAGAAGTAGAATTAAATAGTTCACTAGCTATAGCACAGAGCTGGAAGATACTCTACTCACAGGATCCTCACACGAGATTATTTGATGCGTCACTTTCTGTCCCACACTTCCTGGTTGACTGCTTCGTTTAAATCCTGCTTTGTAAAATATTTTCCCTCTTCTCCAAAACCATCACTAAGGCAGCGGTTCCTTTAAAGACAAAGCTCGACATTCAGGGAAATGTGCTTCTCTACTTTTTTTTTTTTTTTTTTTGCCAAATCAACAACGCTCTCATGTCGCTACGCTTAATGTGAAACTAAAGCTAGGAGTCTGTTAGCTTTATAAAGATTGGAAGCAGAGGGGGGTGGGAGGCTCAGCTCAGGGCAAAAATAAGTCCATCTACCTCCAGCGTATTACTTAAATATACTGCTACTTAAATCTGGTATGTTTCAAAGTAATTCACTGTTTTTATTGGGCAGGTGAAATGAAACGTGCAGATAAATTAATCATAAAGACTGGAAGCAAAAGAAAACATTTTTTCTTTCTGCCTCTGTCCAAAAGTGAAATTTTGAGGCACTAGCACCTTAAAATGTTCACCAATTATGACATGTTGTTTAAAAAGTCTTAAATAGCGAACAGGAAGTCGCTGTATATATCCAGATTAAATCAAACCACGTCTTTTTTGCACGACTCTGACAAAACTAACTACCGAATGCTAATAAGTGGTTTTAAGATATACACACAGGTTTACCTTAAATGAAACAGAATAGCCATTTCCCAGTCTTTGTGCTAAGCTATTGGCTACTGCTCTAGTTTCATATCTAGCACACGGACATGATTGTTGATCACATTTTCCCAAAATATTCAAACCAATATTTAATCTTCCTGTAAAATCTGAAATATCAGTCTCAGACTGACAAAGTGCTATTACTTGACAAACACGGGTCTTAATACTCTAAAGGAACATTTCATCTCTGCACATGACTTTACAATGACCTTCAGTCAAAGATGGTTTTGGAACAAAAATACTAAAAATACATGGTGGATAATTATTTCCCATATCGTCACTTAAGAGTGTCTTTGATTCTGATTCCCTTCCAAGTGGTGCATCAACCATTGAGGCTTTACAGATGTAAAACAAAGAAAACAAAAAAGGCATAACAAGTCCTGATGAACTCTGAACCATTTCCAGTGTGAATTTAGTCTAATTTGATACCACCGATAGGAATAAAAAATCTTCTCAAAGCACATTTCTTTAGGCGATTATAAAGAGGCAGCGTCACAGAACAAGTAGTAAATAGCTTAGGGGTATTTTATCATTATGTCTGGCTGCTAATACCCATCTTTACTGACACAGGCCTGCTGTAGTTTCAAGCCCGCACACGAGGCTTCACTGAACATGAGAAAACTACGACGTACACCAAAGGAGTTAGTAGAAATCGCTTTGGATCGACATGAACACCATTTTTAGATCAGTCCCAGCTTTGCCTCTTAGCTTTTTTGCTCCAAGCATCTTTTCCTTTGGCATGGATGACATTGAAAACAAAGCACAATTCCCCTTATTAGATTAGCTTAAGTTTGCTTGATTATCACAATCACCCTAAATTGATTCTCAAGTTCTCGAGTATTGAACAACAGTATCACTGGGAAGCTAAATACCAAGGCAACATGACTGTATATTCAGTCACCATTTGGCCTAAAAACAAGGAAATGCAGTAAAAGAAGTAAAACCACTGCTGCTGTTGGATATAAACCTCCACATTAACATGTGTACTAAAAAGTTTATTATTCTTCCCTGTCAGGAAATAAACCTGCTGAATACGGCGAAAAGTAAATGTGTGGCTGTCTGTATGGAATTAAGGCTACGTCTTGTTGTAGGTTTTCATCCAAGAGCAGCTCTACAGTAGGAAAACAAAAAGCCATTCCACAGAGGAATGTTAACTATAGGGGATGAGGACAGTGACGGGACAGTTCAGTCTGCCAATATGATCCTTTCTGACAGCCGTGGTGCAAGAGAGCGAGAGAAGGAAACACTCCCCATCCATCTTTCCCAAGACGATGGCTGGAGGCTGCTCTTTCCATGAATTGCACAACGAAGAAGGTGACATTTTGAGGGGTAGGTAGGTAGGTAGGTGCCACACCGTGAGGTGAGTGACTGAGAACCATAAGAACCATATATATATATATTATATATACAGTACATGTTATTTTTCTGAGGTTGACGTTGAGGTGAGATAGACAGAGGATCGGCTCAGACAACCAGGCTGGAGAGAAAGAGAGGGACGGGGGGAGTGAGGAAGGGGAGAGGAAAGAGAAGAGGTATCCTGTGATGAGAGTGTCTATTGAGGGAGGAGAGGGGGGAGTTCCCGGGAGACACAATCCCAGATGAGAGCCACTGTTTTTGGGGGGGGGAGGTTAAAGGCCTGGATCGCCACCTTTTCTGCTTTCCATGGAACATTTTCACAGAGATCAGAGGACATAGAGTGACTCATCTCTGCAAGCTGAGTCAATATATTGGGGAGGGTGGGGGGTAATTACTGTTTACATGGACTTAGGGAGGAGGGAGGCTGAACGACAGGCAGCGGTTGGCAGGGGGGCTGGCTGAGGGACAGATTCAGGTGGTTTACTAAGTAGAATTATTTCAGTCATTTTTTTTTAAGCCCTCCCTCGTTTCCAAACTTTTCTACTCCTCCTTCCCTTTCTCCTCTCCGCTGCTCCCTCCATCCCGGGTCCCGTGCAGTTCATTCGTCCTCCAGGGACTCCGTCTTGATGTCGTTGGGGACCCCTCCGGTTCTGGACAGGGCCAGGATGGTGTGGTTGACGGCGGCCATCTCTACAGCGAGAGAGATGGGGTCCTGGTGCTCGCTGTGTGCTGCGCTGTCATCCTGAGACAGGGAGGACACAGAACACAGCGGGGGTTCACAGTGGGTCCACAAAGAAACTGCCTCTAAACTGCCTGTGCTGATGGTTTGAGGTATCATGGGTTAGCAAGTGTAATGAGGCATTGCTGGTCTGTAACTCTTTGGCTCATGTGTCGAGGCAATGTGGATGGGGTCATAGTAAGAAAGTTATTACGCATTTAAAAGGGTCTTTTTAACCTTTCTTAATCTAAAATGCAAATGTGAACGGCTAAGCTGCTATCATTAGCATGTCAAATGTGTCCTGGATGTGTCTCCTGGGACCAATTGTGTGAGAGCGTGGAAGGGAGATCCTATGTGCAAATTAACACGCATGTCATTTGTGTTAGTTAAGACCAAATGCTGATGTTTTGACCCAGTCTCAGTTTACAGATGTGTCCGATGTCAGTTTGTGTGTTTCAGAACGGGAGAGAGGAGTCAGGGGGAGCTGAATGAATGAATCTCTGAATGTGGTCTGGCGTGATCGTATCGCTATCTGATCTGGTGCACTCACACCTGTACCTAGAGCCCTTTATTATTTTGTCTGATATGAGGATATTGACGAAGAGGTCATGCTAAGGTAATGTACATGCAGATTTAGCCTAATTCTTTTATACATTATGTCATATATGCAGCCATCAAGGGCACATTAAGGACCCTCCAACAGGGTCCTTTAAAAACAAGGCTTGGGAAATAATGTTTCGACAGTTGTCATTTCATCCTGTAAAGGTTTACAGCAAGACTCCGCTTCCATCTACCGCTGTGTGAAATCAAAGATCCTGTTTTAAACTCGCTGTAAACTGCAGGTGTGACACTGTAATGTGCAGTATGTTATTCTAACCAGCTCATGTTTGTGTCTCTTTACAGGACGATATAATCCTGTTTGGTGCAGTGGATCAAGATATTAAAACGAAACACACAATATCTGCTGTGGTCCAGTTTCACTTTGTGAAATTAAAGCACCGAGGGAGCCAGAAAAACAGGTGAGCAACGACAGCAAGCATCAAACCAACTTCTACATGATGTGACATCTGATTGCTGTTTAGTGTAAAGCTATTTCAAGACATGCAATCACAGTATTATTGTGGTGAATGGACCTTTTTAACCTCTGTCTGATTTGAGTTTTTCTTGGCCTCGTTTTGGACGCGAGCTGAGAGCCGTGCTCCCTGCAGCCACAGACCCCGGGACATTCAGTAACGCATCATGTAACAAGTAGTCCCTGATTATATGAATGAAGCGCTCTGGCACATATGTTTCTGTATGTGTGGGGTTACCTGTGTTGGTGAGGTGGGCTCCAGTCGGTAAAGGCCAAACGGTCGGCTGAGAGGTCTCTTGTCAAAATAGGGAAGATCACAGGCCTGGAGGTTAATTGACAGAACAACAGAATTAATCAGTTAGTCAAATAGCATTTGAACGTGTGAATACAAGTTTAATTTAGGAGATAAATTAAAGTATTAATAAAGTATTTCTGGTTCACAGTACTGCTTGACAAGATTAAATACACCTGTGCTCATCATTAGCTGCACTAGGTAAATTAAACTGGCTTTGTTTTTAACTTCCAGCTGCCATCACTTACAGTTTAGCATGTTGTGAAATTGAGACTAAAGCTAGAGGGCTCAAACTTAAACAGTCTTCATCTGTATCGTTCTACAATAATACAGAGCATTACTTCTTTCCAATGGCTACAGGAACAAAAACAATAGAATAAGCTTTTATTAATTAATGTGCTTTGAGCAACAGCTCCTCACAAAACAATTAAGAACTTAATGTGCTTTCAGGATTTGGGAAAAGATGTATTCAGTTGATTTAAAGGAAAACAGCAGTTTTAAAGGTTTGTTATGCATTTTTATGTGACTGATTTATTTGTGAACAGTTATGTGCCGGGGAGGCTACAAGCTGCTGGTTTCAATTAACATGACCTGAACCACAGAGAGGGAAACTAATCAGTCAACTGATGGATTGTTTGATCCAAGGAAAAGGAGTCTCTCACCATAGGTGGAATGTGAATGGTTGGCGAGGAGATGACCCATAAATCAAAGAACCATCAAAGTTAGATGAATGGTTTAAATAATTGTCTTTTTGGGACCTTTAATCCCTCCGTACCTGCTCTGTGAAGTCATTCCCATCGATGTCATCACTGTTGGAGTGTCCTCCAGGACTCTGGACATCTATCCCATGACTCTCCAGGATTGTGGCTTCTTGGGGGAAGAGGATGGATCGTTAGATTTATGATGGATCAAACTATATATATATATATATTTTATATATATATATATATCTCCAAAGTCTCAAAAAATGATGTGTGTCCAGCACACACCAACATATAAACTCACTCACTCACTCACTCACACACTGAACAGGAATGAGGATAAAGGACTTTGGAGAATATATTATGTATATATTCATATATATCTACATCTACATTTACACAAACACATCTGGAACATGGCTTATACCAGAGGTTTACAAACGACTGCACATTAGTATAGAGTTTGTTTATAGAGTTTTTTTTTTACTGAGCACCTAAGGATTTATTTTATAAACCTATCCAGCATCTATGTAAATGCTCACAGCGAGAGATTTCTTCATTTCACAGCACTTATGGGGACACATCAGCGAAGATCACTACAGACATTAGGTGACTGATGAACAATCATTACTAATTATTACAGTAGGAGGATAAATTAACGGCGAACCATTTAGTGCATAAGAAAATGTTATAATTAATGTTACTAATATGAAATGTCCCATTAACACAAAGGATGTAATTAAAAGTGCGGTACATTGTAATCAAAAGTATCAGTGGTCCCTCCCCAAAGCCACATTACCAATGTTGGCCCGTCTCTTGATCTCTTTGCGACGGTTGGCGAACCAGTTGTAAACTTTCAGCGAGGTGACCCGCTCCAGATCGGACAGCTTCTTCCCTGAAACAAATCGCAAGACATAAGTAGTCTCATCACCCAGTGCATCATGTAACAGTTCTTTTGAATTGAATCATCGCTTGTTGTTATCTATCTATCGAGCTGTGAATCGTACTTTTATGAGCTGTTGAATAACTTGATTCCACTGCATAAGAAGCAAATCATACAACAAGTGAGACACAGTTCAGGTCCAAAAGACAATAGATGTGAAAACTAGCCAACAGGGTCTTCTAAGCCGTTTTCAGACATGACCTGCAGGTAAACTCCACAACAGAGACTGGCAGGGTGAGAGGGACAACCCAGAAAATGAAGCTATTATCCTCTACACAGAACTAAATGTCAACAGTATCTAAATCTTACAATGTAGCACACACATTGTAGAACCTGCCAGAACACACACTCTCCTTCTCACTTTTGGGGCGACGGACCAATCAGTGTTGAGAGTCAGCGTGTTTGGCCCTCTCGCTCATCCCCAGCATGTGAACTGACTTTTTATTGTTGTATTTGCTTGATCTCCAACTTCCTGAAGTTATATGTGTCGCCTGACACTCAAGTTATAATTACTCTGTCGCTGTTATGTGTCTTGATGTTTCACTGTCTGAGGAAACAAGATTAAGTTTACTGATCTTCTGTGTTACACGTCTGAGAGATTCATAACCCATCACAATATAATATAGTGGTTGTCATGGTCTTAGCCCACTGCTGATGGATGAGTGGAGAGTTTAGAAGTTGAACAGCGATGTGTTCATATTTGGTTTTTGTTCGTTTTAATTACTAGCAACGACACAAAAGCACGGCAGAGACGTTGGTACTGGTGGTAACATGGATTCATGGGATAAGCTATTAAAGGTGCAGATTATCAATTTGTTCTGTAATTGATAACTAAGCCATTGTTTGCATGGCTAATTCTGAGTTTGTGGAAATTTAAATGATGTTTCATATCATCTGTGCCAATTCAATCTTTACCTTTATTACAAGGTTAAAGGTAACATTGTATGCCTCTATTGAGTAATATGTACCTAGTTTTAATATGGCCAGTGTAATTGTATTGATGCCTTATCAATGAACATTCTTTATTTCCTTATATTTCAGAACCACAAACTTGACATTCAACTTGTCATTCATCTGGTATTAACGTTCCTGGATCGTCAAGGGCCTGTACAACGAAGCAAGTTCCACAGAGGGGAGGGAGGAATGTTGCTGTCACAAGGTAAATGTGTAAACTATCTATCCCCCAACCAAGTAATAGGGAAGGATAAAAGTATTGAACTATGTCTGGTTATCCTGCCGCTAACACACCCAGTACATCAATATCAGTAACTCCGACAAGTAAAGAAACGTAGAGCGATGCTGACAGTCTGTGGTACTGTGAGCACATTGCTCCGTCAGGTTGGTTATGTTCGGCTCCAGCAGCTGACAAAGGTTTATCATTCCCTCTGATGAGGATCTATAACTTTCATAAAGACACTTATCAGAGTAGGTAAAAGGATTTTGTTGGTCTCTGAAGACCCTCGTCCTCCTCAGAGACTAACAATCCACACCAAGCTCCACTGAATCCTTTTTTTTGCTCCACAGGATCCTCTAAGAACAGTGATGTCATGTTTCAAAGGAATCGATTGGTCAGATTTTATACTGGTTGATCTCTTATCTTAGCCATTCAGCATAAGTTACAATGATGATTAACCTGATAAGGGGTGAATGAGCTTCTATGGACTAAAAACCCTGAAGTAAGTTACCATGATAATCACAAATCCTGCTTCATAGTAAAGACCCCAGGTCTGAAATAACCTGGTTTGTGTGATGTACCTGGTTTCTGAATCACAGCGTTGCAGGCGTTTGCAATCTCCTCCCGTTTGGCCTCGTCTGGGTACTGGTTGTCGTTGAAGTAGCTATAAATAGCAGAAGAGCCACACTGATTAAATTCATTTCCCAACACAAGGACGATGTCAACAGAGCAGAGTTACTGCTGTCTCTTACGTTCTGTGTGCACAACAACCAAGCCAATAATCTGAGTGTATGACAAGTCACAGGCTTTGTTTTGTCATTGTCCGGCCATTTTCTCAGACAGGTTGCAATGTTTCCTCAATTCCACGAGGAAATAAGGGACAGGTTATGAGACATACTCCCATTTATCATTTCTAATCTATTGCTTTTCCTTTGTCCTTCCCACTTCGCTCACCTCTCCATCACAGCCAGGCACTCTTTCCTCCAAGTGAAGCGACTTCCCCGGCGCAGCCGGAAGGTGCCAGGGGCAGTGGTGAGGGGGGGCGGGGTTTGCCTCCACTCCATTTCCTCCAGAGGCAACGGAGCCGGCCGCATGTTGAGAGTGGCACCTATGGACGGGACGCAGCAGAGACACTTGTAAGTTACAACATAAGATGGAGCTTCAGTCAGGAAGAGTCAGGCCCAAGAAAGATACAGAAACAGAAAACTGTAAAAGTCTGAAATGTGAAGTGAGAATGTGAGAATATGTAGTGGCTGTACACACAACAGCCAGAAAGCCCATCCCTCATGAAAATGTGTGCAAGAACGCACGTCGCCTTATGCAAATCACACAATATATTCTGATTATAAACTCCAGTGAATAGTGCTGACAAAGACTCTGCTGCCTCATCTCAAATCATGAACACAGCAGAAAGGAAAACCGCACAAAAGCCTTGATTTGCACTCACAACTCGTGAAACTGGAAGAATAAAAACTAAAAGCTCGGGTATATAATGTGCTACACAGCTCACCCACATCGTCATAACCTAACCTGACACACACATTGTCAATGTTGCCTAACTGGGTCACCCTGCAACAGTCCAGGTTATCAGAACAGGTGTGAATGGGGCATCTCTTTTCTCTGCAGCAGTGACGGAGGCAAGTGCACAGAGATGAGCTGAGCTGGGCCGGGCTCAGTCTGGCCATAAATAGCATAAAGCAGTTTCCAATGCTGACGGTGTTGGCAGGGCTCCACCGAGAAACATGCCGCAGAGGACGAGGCGTGGGATGGCTGCTGCCTGGCTATAGGTTGATACATGTCCACGTATGTATACACACGCACATGTTTGTGCACAGTCAGGATCCAAAGACAACAGGAGGCCCATTGCTTTTGTTAAGTGTGAGTTTAAAGTTATGCACAAGACAACAGAAAGTCATTTTTAGACTGTGACTCTTCTCTATAGCAGCAAACTAAAATATAACCAACTAACATCCAAGTTTCATATGTAAACTTTGGTTTCTCTTGAGAACAGTTGTGGAGGTTTGAGAAGACTTGAATCTAAGTTGTGTCATTAAAGTGAGAAATTGCGAAATTAGCCTTTAAAAACCTCTCAACGTCTTAAAGTTGTGACCTGATGACAAGTTTGGAAAAAAATGCTATGCATATTGAATGATTCAATGTTTGGCCTTTACTATTAACAAATCATAATGAACAAATGCATCACTCCAATGAATGTGAACAGACCCACGTAGCATAATAATAAACATTATAAAACTAATGCAGTTCAGCCAAAGTGTTTCCTCATATTAACTCTCTGTTCATGGATTGTTTCTTTGCTGGTTTCCATGATTTAATATAACAGTTGCCTTAGTTCTGATTTGGCAACAAATACAACTTATTGCATTTATGCACAACAAACTAAAAATGAATGTTAAACTCTTCTTATATTCCAAGGCTGTTTTTTGCATTTAGAATAAAAAACAGTTGTTTTCTTATGAAGGTGTTACTCTTTTACTCATGACAAACTATAAATTTACTTGCTATGTATTAAGACACAGTCAGTATCAAATAAAAACTAATAATTAAGCATTTCAAGTCAATAATTACAGGCACGTATGCTGATACGTAAGACGGTCCGGCAAAATTAAACCAGGCAGGAAAAGAGCCCGGCTCATGCACGGTACACGAATCTGACGGACACAGACACACCAGTGAGTCGATGATGTCCAGCTGCTGGAATGTAGACGCTCAGACATTGGTGGTAAGAGTGAGGCTTTCGGTGAGCAGGCATAAGGAGAACTGAGAACTGATTTCAATTGAGGAGTCACTTATTAACTGCGTCATGGGTTAGGGTGAAGTATTTTTATTATCTGCAGTTCCCTCAAAAAAATATTCGAAAGGTGGGGCTGTTTCTTTTGTTATCACACTGACGATGTGGATTTTAGATCAAAAGATGATATGATGGTATTTACATCTAGATGTGTTAAACAAGTTTAGAAGTAGAACCTTTATTCTGAACCCACCCGTTTTTGAACAAATATACTGGAGCAGGCCACTGACAGGTTTTTCTTGTTGTCCAGGTATTGCCTCTTCGATTGACTGATTAAACACTGAATAGCTCTGAATGGCTGCTCTTGGTTTTAGGCTTAAGATTCACCCGTGAACACTGTAGTAGACATCTTTACTTTACCAAGTCAAATCCCTGGACTTCACTTCATGTAGATGAGAGTGAAGGGAGAAGCAATAACCTTGAAACAACAAGAACTGAAAGAGGCTGTACAGTTAGTTATATGGGAGAAGGCAAATGTCAGAGGCTCCAGACTTTCTCCAGAGCGTCTGACCAAAGAATCTTTGAGTTCATGTCTGAAAACAGGTTATGCATCCTTAAATTTTGCTCACCTAAAATTGAGGTGGTCTAATAAGAAAAAGGTGCTCTGTACTAAGTTGTTTAACACATCTAGGCATAAATAACAGGATAGAATCTTTTGCCCAGTATTTATCTTAAATCTTCAGTGTAAAACAAAGAACACAGGAACAGGCTTATACTATAACAGGATACTTTTTGAGAGAAATGTAGTAGGTTATCACACTTCTTTGACCCAACTTTATCATCACTGGAAATAAGTTGCACAATTGTCCTCTTGATACCTTGCAAGTCCCACTGGTGTTTATTGGGACACGCTGGTTGACTTGTCTTGACCTTACATGGCTTCATGTATGTCTGTATGCAGTTTAAATAAGGAGGAATCTTATTTGTTGAGCTACTGCGACTATTAGTTTATACAACTAAAACAGAGGAACTCATTCTTTAAGCGGTTTCCCAGGATGCTGCCCTCTTGCGATTATACTACATCCCTTCATATTCTCTGATGATAATACTTACACCACAGTAGCAGTAGTCAGCTCCTACTATCTGTGGCTCTTAGAATCCTGCTCTACTTTATCCCCATCAGCCTCCACTATATTACACAACTCAAGATGCTTGTGCTAATGTATAAGACATCGCATGAAGCCATCCTCTACATCGCATCCCACTGTGCCACATGTACCACAGGATGCTAACTACTTGTACTTACATCATTAACAGCCCAACAGGAAGCTGGTGGCTGAATGTGCTTTCTCTCTTTGCTACCACAACTTAGTATTCAGACTGACTCCATGAACTTACTTTCTTTGGCCCCGTTCAGAGCTGGTATTAAAGTCCGTCCTGAGTCATCACAAGTGGATAGCTTTAAAGTGTAGAAAATATGTCCTGAATGTTTCTTTTTGTGACCAGATCTCACTTTCCCACTCTGTGCAAATAATCATGATGATGTTTGTGAAGACCAAATAATGTGGTTTTTACACAGTCTGAGTTTACAGATGTGTCTGACGATGTTTGTGTGTGTCGGCGCGAGTGAGAGGGATGAAGAGAGAAAAAGAGCGAGCGGATACAGGAGAGAGTTCATGAATGAATGTGTGCAGCTATGAAGGTAGATTATATGAATTTAAGAAAAAGATTCGTCATTACGTGTTGATATTGTGGCAGTGGCCACAAAAAATAACGTATGGACACCGAGAAGCATAAAAATATGTGACAACTAAAGCAGGTTAGAGACCCTCATATATGGCCCATGATGCATTTGCGTTCACATTGTGAAAAGAATGTGGCCATGTGTGGTTCTCAGGACGCATTGATCTGAACTTAGAGCTGTCCACTGTGATTGGATCACTCAGGATGGATGTTGATACCAGGTCTGAATGAAGTCTTGGATGACCTTGATGATGACACTGACTATGTTGGCCCTGTTTGCGAGTTTCACACATCTTCATCTTGTGTTTACTATTTATTTATGTTTCCCTCTGCATACCACACCATCCTGGAATGGGAGGGAAGGAACCTTCTCTGATCCAAATTTTGCTTCTATTTTTAACCAAATACCTTTATCAAGCGACACAAATGAGAGAGAGAGAGCAAATTTACCTGGTGTGGTTTTCTCCAGCGTGTACCAGCGGTAGAAGGCCCTCTTCTTCTGCTCACTTAGGTCAGAACCATGCTGCAGCAGCCAATGGGAGATCCTGCTCTGGCTGATGCCTGGAAAGCAGCCAGACATCGAATTACAACAGAGTGTTTTGCATCAACTGCCGGCACAGTCTCTAGACAACCCTTAGAATAAGTCAAGAGAGACAGAGTGGAATACTAGAGGAGAAAACTGTTTTCTCTCTCCTTAGCTCCGACTTTATTTCTTCCCCAATCACTTGTCTCTCTCAGGCTGCACAAGCACTGCTGGGCACTTGCATTTGTTTGTACTGATTACCTCTTAAACTCAACATTAGAGTTTGACTGATATGGCGTTGTCACTAGAACATTACAAAGATCCAGTCCAACTCACCTGACCAGCCTTATTATTCACCTTCGAAAACATCCGATGCAACTTCTGCAGATGCAACATGAATCATTTCATTCCATTATTGAAAGGCAAATAATCTTCTCATTCATCAGCAAGTTGCTATATTCGATTGGTCCTGTTTAATACAGTATCTTCCAAGTCAAGTTGCACAAATATTAAACCTTTTTTCTATTTTAAATTTGTTATGTGCTTGTGGTTCCTACTTTTTCTTACAAATAGATTTTTGGGATTTTTTTTAAACAGTCGATATTATACAACTGATGTTTTTTTCTTCTGTGTATTTCACCTATGATTAAGAGAAATCCATCAATTTTCACCTTGCCCAAGTTAAATTGCAATTTTTACAATTTCACTCTGCTGCAACTACAACATAGACGTTCCTGTAGCTTTGCTCATCAGGTATATTGTTCAGACAAATAAAAAATGAGTGCATCGTGTTTGTAGGTCAGATATAAAATCATATCCTATTGTACGAAAGAACGTCTTTCTTGAATGGCTCATACTTGGCCGACTAAAGAGTCAATCACATTTAGCCGCAGTAGAGGAGGTTATGCTGGTAGTTCATCCATCTTTGACATTCAGCTCTGAAACACAGTACAGAAACTAACTGCACTGCTCTGCCCTTCATTTACCCACGACACAGACTCAGGTTATTTGAAGCAAAGACTCAGTTTGTAAAAGTTAACAACATCCTTTCATGACGTTAACCTTCTTTGCTCCATGTACGAATAATAGTGATTGAGTGATAAAATGATATTCAACTTAAGAGGCTTCTCGACTGCTGATTTGAGTCATCAGTGTTTTACAGTGGAAACTTAGCAAATGATTATAGGAATCCACAAAGGACAGGAGCATTTTAGCTTTTTCACCTGAGCCAATATAAAATGCGAAACACAGACATGCAATTGTTTCAGAGTGTGTCAGTATGTGTGTACACTACTCACCGGTAACTTGTGCCACGACTGCCTGAGAGATCCTCCTGTTCCCCAGGAACGCTTTGATCTCCTCCTTCACCATACTGCTGTCCCTCCTACGGACACAAACGACAACACAGCCGGGCCATTTAATACACTGTCAGCAGCAAGAGCCTGAGGACCAGTGTTTTAATTTACAGGGGCACACATACAAAGAATAACCAAACATTTTCTATGAATTGTATAAACGTGTATTCAAAACTAACAAACGGCCGTTCTGTGACATCTTATAATATTACTGAATGACTGGACAGAATTTATTCTTTACTTCTTTCCTTTTTTATGGTTTCAGGTGGACTTGCATGTTTAAGTCTGGTGCAAGCTGCTGTATCATCATTGACCCAGCGCTGTTGATGCTGTGCTCCTTCACATCAGATTTAGATGAGCTGTTTATGCTACAATGACTGATGCTGTTTTTGTATTGTACCTATTTATGGGAGAACTATTAAAACAAGGCTCCATTTTAGTCTGAGCTGCATGTTGACAGCATTATTGCTGTAGTGTTCTCTGGTTTTATGGCTCCAACATAATCAATGCTGCATTTCAGAGGAATACAAACAGCTCTGAGGATTAAAATGAACTGAGGCACAATCAAGTTATCTGTATTTTCCAATTGTATGTGCCGGAAATGTTTCCACTATCTTAGTCGTCAGTGGGGAGAAAACAAAACATGCAGAGACTTGCAAGATTGGAGGGTAGTGAGTGAACATGTGCAGTCACACAGTGTACCCACCCTGCTTTTTGGCATCAAGCCCAATCCCCTCCCTTATACATACACACCCACATGCACGCACCAAGCTTATGAATGTCTTGGCTTTAATTCCTCATCCTGGTACAGATTGTGAACACCTGTCTCATCCTGACTTAACCATACTAATACTGCATACTTCTTTTTTTTTTTTTTTTTT